AGACGTTGATTTCGGCGGCTCAAGACGGAACAACTCGTTACGATTACCAAGGAGCATACATACTTAGTTGTATCATGCTCCTTGCGACCACTACGTACGACACTGTGAGATTCATGATCGGACAGTGTCTGGTCGACTCGAATCCAGCGCTCCCCCACAAGATCGCACTCGCCGCGCTGTGATTGGCTCAAATGAATTTATTTTATTGCATACAAACACCAAGCTAGAATAAAATTTCGAAAACTGCACGACCCACCGATCTTCAAACGGCAAAGTGCAAGCAATCGAACGAGTGGCAGCATGGCGCGCCGAGGACAGCTCCGGTGGTTCTCGACCTACATGATGCTGGCCTGCGCGCTCCTCCTCCAGCGCATCCTCGCCCAAGAAGGTAGACGCAATGAGCATGGAGCCCTTGATGAGAGCTCTCGATAGAGTCCAAGGAAGCCAAGGGAGCCAAGGGCTCGCATGAGGCGACCGAGGCCAGTCATGAAGACGAGGCAACCGAAGCCTACTACACGGCTATCGCCTCGGTGGTCACGATCACTGCGCTCATCTTCATGTCCATCGTCTTTGAGACCGTACGACGCGATTCCTGCATCTACCTCTACAGCTAAGCTGTGACCTTAGGCCTCGGAGCACCTCAAGGAGTCGACGGAAGAGACCAACATGCCGTTCATCAGCACCATCTTTAGCGAGCTCACAACGCTGGGCTTTATTGGCTCGGTGCTCTTCGTCGTCTCCAAGTCGGGGTACCTCGAAAAGGTACCTCATGACGCAGCACGACGCGGTCTTGACGAGCCTGGTGTAGGCGTCCGTGGTGCTCTTTGGCGAGGACAAGAAGGAAGAGCTTCAAGAGACTGTCGAGATGCTTCATATGGCGCTCTTCCTCTTTGTGATCATCTTCCTTCTTCTCTGCATGTACGTGCACCCGCATCGACATGCTGTTCATATGGAGAGCGTAGCGTCTTGCTCAAGCTCGGTACCGGTGTGCAAAACGAATGGCGCGAGTTTGAACGCCGGTCCCCGTACCTCCCGGTGGTCGTCTCAGATTTCTGCCTCGCTACCGAGCCCCCGACGTCATTTTGGGAAAAATTCAACTACCGGCGGCTCCTCGAAGGGTCCAAACGGCGCCGCGAGATGGTCTACCTCAGCCTCCGCCGGCGGTTTGTGGACGTACGCTCCAACCACCCAGTACGTCGTCTCTCCATGCCCTCAATGCTACCTTGCGCAACTCGAATCTGACATATATTAGGACCCGTTGCGCTGCAAGGAGATGGAAAAGGAATATCAAGTGAACCAAAACATTCGGTACAAGCTATTTACACGCACCGAATCACTCATAAATATGTAGGTTTCCGTTCAACGAATACCTCTCGATCATTTCCGGCGAAGTCATGGCGCGCCTCATCGAGATTGACGTCATTACGTGGGTCGCGCTCGAGGTCTTTATCGTGTGCATGCTCTTTGTATGCTGGCAAGTCGGCCCCGAGCACGAAGTCTATGTGCTCGTCGCGTGCGGCATCCTCCTCATCTTCCTCAATCAAGTTGTGTACGGCCGCGTGCGCAACATGCGCAAGCTCCTCACACCGCCCAAGCTCTTTCGCAAGGCCGAGCGCCGCCGCTTGCAGCCGGATTGGCGCCGCCAGAACCAACTCGTGCCAGCCCAGCCGCTCTCGTCGCCGACCGAGAAATCTCCACTGCTACTGGCTTCGTCGTCGTCGTGGGTGCGTGGGCTCGATTCGAGGTTTATAATTATGCTTATATTTTAGGAAAAGGTCCCGTCCGACTCGAACCCGCCGTACTTGGCGATGCTGCCCAACGGCGGCATGGACATGGACTACAACGATCTTACGAACGCACAAAAGAAGCTGCTCGGTGGCGGCAACGGCGTGCTCCTCGCCATGTTTTCGACGCGCATGGTGTTCCTCCTGACCGCGCTCCACCTCTCGGTGTTTCTGGTGCGCACGATGGGCCAGATCCACACCAGCAGTGTGTATCCGTGGTGGGAAAAGGTCATCTTGTACGTGCTGCTCGCGCTCCCGAGCTGCATGGTGACGTCCATGTCGACCATCATTGCGCGTGTACGTCATAAAAGTCATCTTGTCTTGTGCTATGATATGGGCATGGTAGGACGGTCTCTACTCGTTCAACGTCGAGCACATGAAAGTGCCGCGGGTGATCAACAAGGTCATGCGCATTCTGAAGGCGCGGTCGACGCTGCGCACGCTGCGGTTCATTGCGGAGATGAAGGTCTACCTCCGTGAAGACCACAAGAAGAACAACCCGCACCTCACGCACGACGACGAGGGCCCGAGCCACCATATCGTTATGGGCAGCAAGCGCGGGTCCTTGGACGGCATCTCGTTCCATGCCGAGACCCAGCGACTCGTCGAGTCCCCGACCAAGAACAAGACATCCGAAGCGCTGAGCAAGCACAAGCACGAATCGCCGAGCGTGCGCATGCAGTACGAGCTGCCCATGTCGCCACTGAGCGAGCCGCCGACGCCCAAGCGCAAGCTGAGTACCGAGACTAACCTGCGCCACGACAAGCATTCACACAAGGACAAGTACGAAGAGGAGCTCGAACGCCGCGAGATTGGCGCGATCTTTGAGCTCTTTGATCGTGACGTGTACGCATGGATGCCTTTATAGGTTGTGTGGACTGATACATTGAAACATTTGATAGATCCGGATCGATCTCGCGCAATGAGATGCAGACGTTGCTGCAAGCGATCTCGTCCGACATGACAATGGACCAGATCAATCGCATCATGATCGAGCTCGATGAAAACCACACGGGCGAAGTGCAGTTTGAAGCGTTCTACAACTGGTGCCGTAGCCGCATCCACGTACGTCCCTTCTCGGAGACCAGTAGAAGCAGGAACATGCTGTGTGATTCAGGAGCACTCGTCGTCGTTCTCCAAGCACGAGTTGATCCACGAAGTCTTCAACATGATCGACACGGACCGCAGCGGCTTTATCACTGTCGACGTACGACAACAACACATAGCGACTGCATGTTAATGGTATTTTGTAGGAATTCATTTCGATTTTCAGCAAACTCGGGCAGTCGCTCGACCACGACGACGTGCGCGAACTCATTTACCAAATGGACAGCAACGACGACGGCAAGATCGACCTCGAGGTACGCATCTATACGTCAATAAATCGTAGCTGACGCGACCGACAGGAATTTTCCAAAATGCTGCACAAGCACGCCGTATAAGGCGACAAATGCACACTAGTACATTGCTTTCTTTGAGTCCCAACGGCTTTGACTCACCTCACACTCTATTCCATTGCATTTGCTGTGAAAACGTCACCACT